GTATCTGTAGATACTTTGAAAATGGCATAAGCCCCAAAAAGTGAAATAAATTAAAAAAAAAGTTTAATAATTCAAATACATCAGGTTTTCATTAGAAAAAATTTTTTTGGATGCTATTCTTTTTGCTAGTTTAAAGCAATACATCTCTCTATAGGGAGATGTTAATAAAGCTAACACATTAATATTTAACAACAAGAAGATTTTTCTGATACAATATTGATTACTATTTATGCGATAGTTTAATCAATAGGGATACCACTAAAAAATTGATTGATTGATTGAACGCCAAGCTGTGAAATATATTCTTGAGAGAAAAATTAAAAATACAAAAAATTAGAAGATTTCAGAGGGTAAACTTTTTACTTTATAGTATAAGAAATTCAAAAAATCCATTAACATTCAAATCGGGATTTCGAAGTATAAACCTAATGGCGCTAGAACAGATACCATTACGTGCATTTCTGATACTTACTCTGTTTCAGGGTTGTCAGAACTTCAAACGTTATTTCTGGCATGTATAGCAACTTTTCTACCACTTATCATTTCTCTCTTAGCAGCATTTGGCATAAGGTAAGTAAATTACGAATGAAGTTTTTCTATAACTTTTTTATGTCCGTAATAATTACCACCTGACAAAAACAATCAACTATTCCGCAGCAAGAGGGTGATTTAAAGACAAAACACATTGTTCCATAAACTAATTGACCCAAATTTTAATAAGGGCATCAAAATGGGCAGAAATTCGAGAGAAACTAATTCAGATTTTCCAATAAAATTACCTTCGTTCCTTCTATCATCTTTTGAAGGTAGTCGTCATGAAATAATTGGATTTTGCGAATTAATTTCAATATTCCAACAAAAATTACGCTTACAATTTTTATTAGTTCCAACAAAACGACCGATAATAATAACCATTAGATATAAATCATCCAAAAGGCCGAGTACAGTTAATTATTATTTATTTAAGTATAATTTTTGTAATTATAGATATGTATGAAATTTTTTTCGAAGTATTTATTTGTATAAAAGATAGAGACGCTCTATTTTTAGTAAAAAAGTAACAGGATACGTGGTGAAATAATATTTGTAAAACATGTTTAAACAAAAGAAAAGGATCCTTCAGGATTCCAAAGAACAAATATTTTACACTGTACATCACATAAGATATTGATTGAACAAATTCCTTCCTTATGTAACCCACTTAAAATAAAAGATGCGAAAAAAAGTTAATTTTATTCTAGACACGTTTGCCATTAAAACAAGTGGATTTCCTTGTGACAACGTTTCAGATGCTTCGGTAACGACATTATTCAAACACTTGTACTAAAATGTTTCATCCATCATCTAATTTTAAAGTAATTCTCTGGTTATTTTTTACAAACAAAAAAGGAATAACATTACACCAAATAAAGCAGAATTTGAACATGTTTTCAGCATCGAACTTTAAATGAAGTTCAACATTCTCAGGAATTTAGCAAAGCAATGACGCTTGTTTAAAGATATAAATTCCAACCAGGCAGTTATAAAGTCGACCCTGATCTTTTGCGTACCTAACCAACCTCCAACCGCTGCACTACTTACTATTATTTGGTTTTCTGTTTTCACTTTGCTTGTACTATTCATGAAGCATTTTTTAACTTAATAAGGGCGTGTTCAAAACGCAGTTAATGACTATAGTCCCAAGTGGAAGCAAGAAAGAACATACATCTATTCTCACAGATAATTTATTGTAGAGTTTACCAATTTTGATCATCCCAATTATAGTTTTATCAAATCGAAATAATCTAAACTTTACGCTATGAGAGACAGCCAGAATTGCAGCACAGTAGCATTTAGGTCTGTCACATGAAAATCTCATAAAGTCGGGTGATATACTTATCCTCGTCCGGTTATAGTTTATTCTCACACACAATTCGACCTTTACCACCGAAACACTTAAATTATTTCTCTCTTCAGTCCATAAGCTATTTATTATTAAAAAGATTCTCTCAACAACGCATTACTTATACGTATTGACAATACTTTAATATACTTCGTTTACATTCTGTAGCGATGTGACCTTCAGTTTGACCGGCGCAAAGTAGAAAAGAACAGCACTAGGCCAGAAAAAGAAGAAGACAACTCTCGGACAAACTCTTAACCGGTGAAGAGCGTATAATCCGTACAGTACTGCACGGAAAAATTGACCATTTTATCCACTTCAATTGCATTGCTCAAATGTGATGTTATTGGTACCATTTACTACTGAAAATATCAACCAGATGTTTATTTATATTTCAAGACATATTAAAGGCTTTAACGCTTGTTTTCATCCTATCTTATTTTTTATTTATCTAGGTTTCTGGATTACAACGAACAAAATGTTGACACTGCAAACGTGAAAAACTTCGGTATGACATCAACAACAGAAGGATCCACCACATTACAACTTCTCAATTTCACCCTTTCGTCAACGGTGCCCGTTCAATATCGGTTTATTCCTGGATCGGTCACCGAAACAGACTTTAACGTGTCCACCCCAAATTCTATCTCAACCTCTTCTATTTCGGCAACTATTGTAAATGGGACTGAAGTAAGAAAGCGGCAACAGTTTTCAAACGGAACAGGGTATTATATAGAAGAAGAGCCAGAAGGAGGTAACTTTAATTAACAGTTAGTTAATTTGCAAAATAAATAAAACGTTTTGATCAATATTCGCCAAAAGGAAATTAATGATTTCAGTATCAGTAAATTAGAAATCTCAACAAATAGATACAATTATCGGAATTTTTAAATATTTGTTTTAAGCAACTAATGATTGCTATAGTTTTAAAGGTTGTTTATAAAGTATCTGTAGATACTTTGAAAATGGCATAAGCCCCAAAAAGTGAAATAAATTAAAAAAAAAGTTTAATAATTCAAATACATCAGGTTTTCATTAGAAAAAATTTTTTTGGATGCTATTCTTTTTGCTAGTTTAAAGCAATACATCTCTCTATAGGGAGATGTTAATAAAGCTAACACATTAATATTTAACAACAAGAAGATTTTTCTGATACAATATTGATTACTATTTATGCGATAGTTTAATCAATAGGGATACCACTAAAAAATTGATTGATTGATTGAACGCCAAGCTGTGAAATATATTCTTGAGAGAAAAATTAAAAATACAAAAAATTAGAAGATTTCAGAGGGTAAACTTTTTACTTTATAGTATAAGAAATTCAAAAAATCCATTAACATTCAAATCGGGATTTCGAAGTATAAACCTAATGGCGCTAGAACAGATACCATTACGTGCATTTCTGATACTTACTCTGTTTCAGGGTTGTCAGAACTTCAAACGTTATTTCTGGCATGTATAGCAACTTTTCTACCACTTATCATTTCTCTCTTAGCAGCATTTGGCATAAGGTAAGTAAATTACGAATGAAGTTTTTCTATAACTTTTTTATGTCCGTAATAATTACCACCTGACAAAAACAATCAACTATTCCGCAGCAAGAGGGTGATTTAAAGACAAAACACATTGTTCCATAAACTAATTGACCCAAATTTTAATAAGGGCATCAAAATGGGCAGAAATTCGAGAGAAACTAATTCAGATTTTCCAATAAAATTACCTTCGTTCCTTCTATCATCTTTTGAAGGTAGTCGTCATGAAATAATTGGATTTTGCGAATTAATTTCAATATTCCAACAAAAATTACGCTTACAATTTTTATTAGTTCCAACAAAACGACCGATAATAATAACCATTAGATATAAATCATCCAAAAGGCCGAGTACAGTTAATTATTATTTATTTAAGTATAATTTTTGTAATTATAGATATGTATGAAATTTTTTTCGAAGTATTTATTTGTATAAAAGATAGAGACGCTCTATTTTTAGTAAAAAAGTAACAGGATACGTGGTGAAATAATATTTGTAAAACATGTTTAAACAAAAGAAAAGGATCCTTCAGGATTCCAAAGAACAAATATTTTACACTGTACATCACATAAGATATTGATTGAACAAATTCCTTCCTTATGTAACCCACTTAAAATAAAAGATGCGAAAAAAAGTTAATTTTATTCTAGACACGTTTGCCATTAAAACAAGTGGATTTCCTTGTGACAACGTTTCAGATGCTTCGGTAACGACATTATTCAAACACTTGTACTAAAATGTTTCATCCATCATCTAATTTTAAAGTAATTCTCTGGTTATTTTTTACAAACAAAAAAGGAATAACATTACACCAATTAAAGCAGAATTTGAACATGTTTTCAGCATCGAACTTTAAATGAAGTTCAACATTCTCAGGAATTTAGCAAAGCAATGACGCTTGTTTAAAGATATAA